TTGCATGATTTCAAATATATTTTACACGAAATGTAATAAGTTATGATTATTGTAATTTTCAGCTACACCTTGTTCAGTTTAATTTTTTTGCATGATTCGAATTCAAAAAGTCTTTGAATTGTTTATTCTTCCAATTAATTATGAATAATGAAACTATGTTAACTATGAAAGAAAATCAATAAAAATAACATAAACGCTCGAAGCAATAATTAGGTAATGATTCGATAATTAATTAAATTATCTAATGAGTGTTATAATGGTTTATAAAATTGAAGTGATACTTACTATACCAGAACGTTTTCCTCATAAGAAAATGAAGTTTATAACACATTTAAATTGCATAATGTCAAGAAAATTAAAAATATATTTGAATATTCTGAACCTGCCACAAAATTCATATGAAGCCAATTGCATATTATTTCTAATGATTAGAATGTCATTCGTATTACCAGTAGCAATTATATATAATAAACATAGGGAGCATAATTTAGCTATAGACAATAAGAGAATAATTGTATCACTGTTCATAGTTTGCTTTATTATATTTTCGAGTACTGTGAATTCTGATTTAGGACAACTTAACGCAGTATCATTACTGCAGATAATGCATTATTTTTCAATAATTACTTCTTTTTGCTTTTCATTCAACTTTTCAATAGTTAAAAAAATGAAGAAATTTTATTGCGATATCACAGTGTTTGACCAATATTTTAATAAAAGCGACAATAGTAAAATGTTTCAATCAACAAAACGTCGTGATATCTGTGTTTTGATATGGCTGCTTTTTATTTTACCTTATTTTATTGGGCATATTTCAAATCGCCAATTTATTTTTTGTTATATGCATTCATTACCTCTGTTTCTCCAATCGTCAACATAATTATATTGGTATATTGTCTAGTGAATATAGTGTTTTTATTAATGCAACGGTTTCAGCTATTAATCGATAATCTTGAAACCGAATTTGATGCATTGAAATATCGCACAGATAATTGCAGTAATTATAAGAAAAATGCTGATCGTATTTATACCAGAATAATTAAAAACCTAAAATTAATAAGTTATTTATTCGACATAGTAGAACGTTTTAATAGCAGTTTTGCTGCTATTATTTGCAGTGTAATTTTTATTGCTTTCCTATGGACTATAGCTAATATATTCAGTGCAATTGGTTTCATGTTACAGAAGTTAGAAGTAGAAGGGATTTGCGTGATCATATTCTACTTTTTGGTGCTAATTAAAAAAATTATAATTATATATACACTATTCTATTCCAGTACTCAAATAAAGATAAAAGTAAGTTAATGACTAATGGAATTTCATAATGTAGAAAATATCTCTGTACTAATTAGTTTACTACAATTTAGAAAATTGGAAAATATAAATTAATAACT